GAAGGAAGGAAGGAAGGAAGGAAGGAAGGAAGGAAGGAAGGAAGGAAAGAAGGAAGGAAGGAAGGAAGGAAAGATCTCTCCTAGAATAGCTGGTTTACATGATTGTCTATATTTTGGGGTGAGTAGCCAACTTTTATTTGTTTTTAACATCTTGCTTATGCCACCTGAAATGAATTATCCCAGAAGGCACAAGAAGATATTGAAATATTTATACATTTCTGGGGCAAGCAAAGCATCAGAAGTAGCTTATTTCTATATGCAGCTTCTTAGGGATTTGGCATGTTGGACTTTTCTCTAACCTTCTCAGAAGTGATAATGTTGCAGTCTAAGTCCAGAATTTAAGGGCTTTTCCACCTCCCTTTCAACTTGTAGTACAATGGAAACTAAATCCCAGGCTTTTTCTCTGGCTACAAAAGCCATGTCCAGAATGTTCTCTCTCCTTTTCTCTGACTACTGACTTCCCTGGCTTTCTTTAAGTCTAAACTAAGTCCCAATCTTCTTACTGGAAGCCTCCCTCAACCCCTCTTAATTCCAGTGCCTTCTTTCTGTTAAATTATTTTCTATTTATCCTTGTATATACTTGTTCGAGTATTGTCTCCCCCATTAGATTGTAAGCTTTTTGAGGGCAGGAACTGTCTTTTGCCCCTTTTTGTACTCTCAGCACTTAGCAACATTCCTTGCACATTATAGGAGCTTAAAAAATGTTTATTAATTGACTGATTGGAAAGAGCACTGAATTTAGCACCAAAAAGATTGCTACTAATGAAATCCAGGATCCTCTTTATCTGTAAAATATCTGCAGGATAGGACATCAATCATCCCCTCCAGCACTACATGTGTGATCCATTGTTTTGGATTTATCAGCAGTTGGTAAATTAGAGTGAAGAGGCAACAGAAAAGTAGCATAACCTTTGAGATTAGTAAAAGCATGGACATGATCAATTGACCCTAAGAATTATCAAAAAAAAAAAAAAAGGAAGGTACACTCCACACCCCACCCAAAATTTAAATGTAGTACCAAAAAAAAAAATTAAAGTGTTTGAGGCTGGTGACTCAGGACATGGTTCTCTATACATATTGTGTTGTTATAAATGCATTGCCACAGTGAAAGTGGTTAATTAATCAAAGTCTGTAGCTTCTGAAATATGCAGATAAATCAGTAAGGAAAATTGAATCTTTAGGAGATAATTTTTTTCTTAATGATTTGAGTGTGTTCCTTCCCATAAAAATAAAACAAAACAGAAAAACAAATTGATTGCAAAAAAACACCCCCATATATTAATAATGTGCTGTTCATCCACAAGGGTTAAGCACAGGAAATTGAAAGTTAAGGCTGTGGTAACAACATTAATTAAAGGATATTACTCATGCTAGATGCAGGGGCTGTAGGTTTTCTAGCATAAGTAAGAACATAAAACATTACACAATATGTCACAGTTTAAACATAAATGATGAGAAATCAATAAATACCATTAAATGCTATTAAGAACAAATTTGTTTTATAATCAAGAGAGGTTATAAAAGTTTGAGGGGGGGTAATGTTTTCAAAACAACTTCAATGAATTTTTTTTTAAACCAAGAATAATCTCCTGGCATATTGTGAATTCTGACGATAATATGTGCCTCTCATTTGCAGTCTGGATTTTCTTCTGAGAGATTTAAAGGAACAGTCTTAGTCATTTTGACTATGAGACTACAATGTAAAAAATGAAAGTGAAAATTAAGCCTAAAATATATTTTTTTCATTCTTAGAAGAAAAGTTAAATGAACTCTCTACATTTTGTCCCCCAAACTGTTGGTTGCTTGTATATTTGATTTATGCAGATTTATGCATGGTATTTGTCCCCTCTTTATTTACGGACCCTTATTTCTGACTATGTGTGAGGCCTTATGTAAGTGTCATAGGCAGGATACTAGATTTGAATAGTCTGTGTAAAATCTGTCTGTGAAATTTTCAGGTTTTCCTTCTCTTACTCTATGGTCTATACCTGTCATTTTATCAATGTGGAGAAACTCCTTCTATCAATTCATATTTAAAGCTTGTCTGAATCTTCTGGTGTTAGAGAGTGTCCTGAGTCACTGTCACTGAAAGATTAGATAACTTCCCCAGGATCACAAAGAAAGTATGTCAGAAGCAGAACTTGAACCCAGATCTCTCTAACTCAGAGGCCATTCCTCTCTCCGCTATGCTTTGCTGCCTCTCCAAAAAATATATGTAAAATCAAAATGCTATTGTTGTTCGTTATTTAATAGTGTCCAACTCTAGAGTAGCCCCATTTGGGGTTTTCTTGGGAAAGATACTGGAGCGGTTTCCCATTTTCTTCTCCAGCTTGTTTTACAGATGAAGAAACTGAGGCAAACAGGGTTAAGTGACTTGCTGGGGATCACATAGCTAGTAAGTATGTGAGGTCAAATTTGAACTCAGTTCTTCCTAACTCTAGGTTAGGCACTGTATGCACTGTGCCACAGAGCTGCCCCGTAAAATTAAAATAAGTACCTCAACTATGTTATTGACCATGTAAATAAAAGATTATTTGAAATCTTTTAATGTGTCTTTTGATATCATTTATGTAACAACACAGCAATCTGGACAGAATAATAGAAGCCTATTCATAGGAGAGAAATATGTAAATTCCTAAGCTAGCCAACTCCTGGCTCAGGATTCAAAACACCTCTTCACAAAGTACATAATGGTTTTTGTTAAAAAAAAAAAAAAAGAAAGAAAGAAAGAAAGAAAAGCTACACAGATATATTCCATGGCAAGGCACTCTTTATGAGCTTGATGGAAAAAGATGTTTTGTATATTGATTTGAATGTTTACCACTCCAATATTTTTTGTTGCCAAACAGAAAGACAAATATAGAATCCAACCACAAATGATGCACAGAGTAAGTGCTACTCACCATTCAGAAGTGGAACCTTTCTAAAGTTCAGCTACAAACATTTCACATGCTGTTTATTTTGTTTTTGATTCAGGTACCACAAGGCCACATAAGGAGGGTGAGGTCCCTGGTGTGGACTATATTTTCATCACCGTTGAAGACTTTATGGAACTAGAGAAAAGTGGTGCTCTCCTAGAAAGTGGAACATATGAAGGTAAGCACATTTTTACTGCCAAATCTGTTTTGTGGCTTCATTACATTTTTCTCATTTAATTGAATCGTGTTAGTACACCGTGTCACAAATATGCCGCCATTCTTGGTTGCAGAAATTGATGAGGAGGCAAATGGCATTTGTAAAGCACATTTCCTAAAGAAAATATAAAATGAAGCTGGATTAATTTGGTTCATGAAATTAGTTGAGTTACCAAAAGAAACCTATTAATATACACACTGGAATAAATGTGTTACCAGTTTCATAATTCATGCTGTATCTTTATAGGCAAAATGGGCTAATTAACATGGTATAATGAAACATAGTACTGACTCCTAGAGTCAAGAGGGCTGGGGGCTTTTCCTGAGGCCCCACCTTGCTAGATGTATAACCTTGAACAAGGATTTTTCACCTCTCTGGGACAGCGAGTAAAAATTCTAGGACTTTATAACTAGGTGCTTCTAATACTTTAGTAAAGCAAAATAATACCTTTTGAATGCAAAATGGATCTAATTCCTAAAAACTCCCAACTTTACTGTTATAATGATGTGGTTATAATGAGGTTGGATTTAATATAATTACAATTAAATTTTGAAGTTTGTCTACTTGGACTGAATAACTTCATATAATCATAAATTAATATATGTCCCAATAACTCATATTAATGTAGCACTTTCCACTGTTAATGTGCTTTCACATGCTGTCTCTTTGGATCACTAGAACAGCCCTGAGAAGCAGGTAGTGGGAAGACTGTTGTGTCTACTTTGAGATAAGTAAACAGAGGTTAAATGAGATATTCAATTTTCTATAGCTAGTGTGTCACAGACGTACCTTTGCACTCATATCTTCTATTGATAAGTTCTCTGATCTTTCCATTACAGGTACAAGTGTATACCATCTATTTTCATGTGTGTCTCTTTATCTATGTGTATTTTTGAGCAGAAGCTATAAATAACAGCAAATGAGTAAAGTTTATTAATGTTGACACTTCTGTTCTCAGTAATTGTTGGTTTCCTTAATACTTGGTGATAATTGATGGATATTAGGTATCCATTAGGATATTTTAAGGTTGTTTGAAATAAACATTAATATATATTTAATTATACATGGTCCCTGGATCAATTTTAATGTGGTTCAAACTCTAATTTGTCAATTACCACATTCATAGGAAATCATTTGTGTATGTGTATACATAAACATACACATATACATATAAATTTTATTTTCTGTGAATTTATACCTTATTAAATACACATATGTGATATACATATATACATTATATATAGAAATATAGCTTCATTGAGCTTGTGAAACTTGGCCAGATTAGCATGATTTCAGCAATTTTATATATATATATATATATATAATATATATGTACATACATATATACATATTATATGCATGTATAGAGAGATAAAAAGATAATTAATTTCTAAGTAATGTGCTTTTACAAAAGGGGAAATATTTGGTGACATTTAGTGGAGATTGATTAATTTATAAAAATAAAGACAGCACAGTAAATATTCAGGAACTTGGCAGAATATTGTCTCAATTGATTTGACACATTGTTTTAATAAATCGTTATTTGTATTTCTTCTACTAGCATGATTGCCCATAATTGCTTTAATCTAAGCATTTTATTCAACTAGGTGACAGGTAATAGCTAATATATAGCAGTATTCCCAAAAGAACATAGTTAATAATCTGACATTTCATTCAATGTCTAAAAGACTTACTGTAAATTGAGTATATAAGCTAATAAAATCCAAGGACAATCTCTCCTGTCAGATAAGTATGTCTCAAGCTAGGAATAAAGCTAATATGTTAGACATGATGGTTATTCAATGTTTTCATAAAAAAACGAGTATCAAGTCATACAACGTTTCCAGGTGTAGTTTTAAATTTGAGTTTCAAAAAACTTTAAATTTAGAAAGAAAATGGCTCAAATTATTCACACACAGCACAGTGAAACTGACTGAATCTTCCTTTAACAACCTTTTAGACCAAAGCTCCAAATTTACTGTTACTTAATTTATTGTGAATAGGTAATTACCCAGGTATACAGAGCTTTAACTAGAAATTCTAGCACCTGGGGCAAATTCCTTTGGATGAGGGGAGATGTTGGGAGCATGCTGTAATAACTGGTTAAAGAAAAAAATCAATTATACAAAATAAGATGGGGGAGGTGTGACTAATCAATAATTTCTATGAAAAAATGTAAAAAGGCTTTAGTAGACTAAATGATCGATATGAATCAAATCATATGGCACCCAAAAAACCTAATGTATTATTAGGCTGCATAAAAAGAGATGTAGTGTCTAGAACAAGGAAAATGATAGCTCTGTCCGGGTAGGACCGTATCAAGCTTGTTGTGTTCGGTGCCAGGTGCCCCATTTTAAGGAGGGCATAAGCTGGAGACCTTTCAGAGGAAGATGGCCATGATGGTGAAGGGCCTTAAGACTAAGCCACATGAGGAAAGGTTGTATGAGCTGGGTATTTGTAGCTCAGAGAAAGAAAAAAATTTAGACAAACAGTAGTACTCTCTATTTGTCTTCAAGTATTTGAAGCGCTGCCACAAATTAGAGCAATTAGACCGTTTTGAGTTGGCCCCAAAGGGCCTGAGTAGGAAGGAGTAGCAGCAATGGCAGAGAGGCAGTTTTCAGCCCCTTGTGAGGAGGAAATTCCTAACAATTGGAGGTCTCCAACTATGGAGAAGCGCACTTCAGGAGACAGGGAGATCATTCTCGCAAGAGTTCTTTAAGCAGATGATGGGTGACCACTTACATGGAGTATCATGGAGAGAAAGCTGGTTAGCTATGTGCTATCCTGTGTGACCTCTGAGGGGCCATCCAAGTTTGGGATTCTTTGATATGATTCTGAGCATTTTGTGGAATCCATTTCATTACTTCATAATGCTGTGTTTAGTGAAATGAGAATCTGGCTTCTCAGGCAAGATACCCTGAATTTCCCAGAGAAATTCACACAAGTAAGATTTCTTTAGAGTCTCAGTGTATTAAATCTTTGGGGAACCTACAAAATTCAAGTTTTAATATTAATTCACTGGAGTTCCTATAGGCCTGGACCTAAGTGTGATGTTGTGAGATACCTCCTCATGTGCAGTATTGCAAGGGAATCCCAAGAAGCATTCCCATGGGGTCTCTTTTCACAGGATACAAAGACAGTGGAAATCATTTGTTCATCAAATAGATAGAAAGTTACACCAGGTTTTTGGATTTGTCAAATTTCTTTTATCAGTGTCCCAGAGGAGATTGTGACTTTCTCTACAAAATTCTTTCATTACCATCTTTTTCTCTCCCACCATTATTTCTTTCTGGTCTCTGCTTCATTCCCTTTTCAATGCTAGCCCATTCCACTATTGCACTACCATTCCTCAGCACCAATATTGACCAAAGCAGGAAATGTTCATCTTTTTTCTATTTTGGACCCGTTGGCACTCTGGTAAAGTCTACAGAATGGCCACTTCCCCGAATAACATTTCTGAATAATTAAAGGAAATGCTAGATTTAATTTAGAAGTTAGAGAAAGTCATATTGTTTCTAATCCAAATTTATTGACCCCCTGAAATCTAGCCTTCTGGTTATGAACCCCTGATCTAGACCCTCCAGAATGAATTGTCAAATTGTGTGATCTCTGAATACTCCCTGAAGAAACTGAGAAATCAGTTTACTTTTAGCTCTGGGACTATAGATTCTCACCCTAATTCTTTTAGTCAGTTGCCATGTATTAGATATTCAATTAGGGCATAAGCCTGAATGAGGGCCATAAGTCCCTTTAGCAACAGGGCAAGTAGGTTAGCCTTTGCCATTTGCTTTTTCCCAAATGATGCCAATTCAAGAAGTCTAGAGATTCATTCATTTTATAATTGGTAGTGATTTAAATAAAATAAATATTTAATAAAATATTTAATAAGTATGTATTTATTTATTCATTGGTAGTGATTACATGGGCTTACTCTAAAATATTCACTTACAGACCTTAGTCTTTAGGTAGGCTAGTCTTCTTAGTTATTCTTAATCACACCAACTGAAGTCTGGTCTTCTTCCTCCTCACTCGTCCACTTGAAGGTAGATTCTGCCCCTCCATACCACCTTTTATTTCTTAACTCCTCTTTCTATACTGTCTTTTTCCTCCAATAGAAATTAAGTTCCTTGGGAGCAAGGACTTTCTTGACTCTTTTTTATCATTCATTTGGGGCAAGGCTTTTAACCCTTCTGTGCTTCATCCATTTCTACTTTTGGAATGAGTATTGTGATATACCCTGAATACAAGAAGTTCCAAGACCAGTTTATGGAGTATAAGCTGCATGATTTTAAACAAATCACTAAACCTCTCTGCGCTTCAGTTTCCACATCTGTTAAATGAAAGAATTCAACTAGCTGATCTGCATAGTTCCTTCCAGCTCTCAGATTCTATGATTAGAATCCTAGAAATCCAGTCACTTCAAGAAAAAGCTCATTCTGAAGAAGGGGCACATACATCGGTAACAGTCTTTCACAATGTCTCTAGTGATGGTGATTACAATCTAGGAGTACAGATGCAGCTGGAATGACCAGCGTGGGACGAACAGCCCTTCCCACACTAACCACACATGGAATGTACCAGTAGATTGGTAACTGCAGCTGCTCTATGAAAGGCCTGCCCTGTCTGCACCTCAGTCTTTAGACTTCAGTCTTCCCTAAAAGGAGCAATCCATTCTCTTTAGTGGTACACCAGGCAAGTTAGCTGCTTCACTTTCCCAATTGTCGTCATACATAATTCACATCTATTTAACGTCTCAAGTTTTGCAGAGTAATTTCTTCACAAGAGGCAACTGAGGTAGATAGGGCAGGCATTTTTATACGCATTTTACAAATGAATGATTTAAAGGGTTAAAATGACCTGCACAGTGTCACACAGCTAATACATGGCCTAGATGAGATTCAAACCCACTTTCTCATAGCTCCAAGTCAGGGATATTTCCAATCCAATCCAATCCACATTTG